CGGTTTCAGACAGTGTGGACTAACTGAACCCTGTTTCAGACCTTGTGGATCGAAGTAATCTGGTTTCAGACAATGTGGACTAGGGAAACCAGTTTCAGAGTGTGTGGACGAGGTGAATCCAGTTTCAGGCCTTGTGGAACAATTAAATCCGGTTTCAGAACGTTTGGACTAAAAGAATCCGGTTTCAGACAACGTGGACTAAGGGAACCTCGTTTCAGACCACGTGGACTAAGGGAATCCGGTTTAAGGCTGCGTGGATTAAGGGAATCCGGTTTCAGACAGTGTGGACTAACTGAATCCTGTTTCAGACCTTGTGGATCAAATTAATTCGGTTTCAGACGGTGTGGATTAAGGAATTCAGTTTCAGAGAGTGTGGACGAGATGAATCCGGTTTGAGGCCTTGTGGAACAATTAAATCCGGTTTCAGATTGTGTGGACTAAAAGAATCCGGTTTCAGACAACGTGGACTAAGGGAACCTCGTTTCAGACCACGTGGACTAAGGGAATCCGGTTTACGGCTGCGTGGATTAAGGGAATCCGGTTTTAGACAGTGTGGACTAATTGAGTCCAGTTTCAGACCTTGTGGACTAAAGTAATCCGGTTTGAGACGGTGTGGACTAAGGGAATCCGGTTTCAGACCGTCTGGGATAAAAAAAATCCAGTTTCAGACAAAGTGGACTAATGGAATCCGATTTCAGACTGTGTGGGCTAAGAGAATAATGTTTCGTACCGTGTTGACTAAGGGATTACAGTTTTTGACCGTGTGAACTAAGGAAATCCAGTTTCAGACCGATTTGACCAAGGGGATTCGGTTCACATCAAGTGGACTAAGGGAATCAGGTTTCAGACCGTCTGGACTAAGAGATTCCAGTTTCAGACCGAGTGGGCTAAGAGAATAATGTTTCGTACCGTGTGGACTAAGGGATTACGGTTTCAGACAGGGTTGACCAATAGGATTCGGTTTCACATCAAGTGGACTAAAGATATCCAGTTTCAGACCGTGTGGACTAAGAGAATCCGGTTTCAGACTGTGTGGGCAGAGGGAATCCGGTTTCGTAGCGTGTGGACTAAGGGATTACGGTTTTGAGCCGTGTGAACTAAGGAAAACCGGTTTCAGATTGTGTGGACTAAGGGAATCCGGTTTCAGATCGTGTGGGCTATGAAAGCCGGATTTCAGACCGTGTGGACCAAAGGATTAATGTTTCAGACCGTGTGGACAAAGGAAAAACAGTTTCAAATTGTGTGCACTAAAGGAAACCGATTTCAGACCGTGTGGTCTGGGTAAATCTAGTTTCAGACTGTGTGGTCTAAATGAATCCGCTTTCAGACTGCGTGGAATAAGGAAATCTGGTTTCAGAGTGTGTGGACGAGGAGAATCCGGTCTCAGGCCTTGGGGAACAAAGTAATCCGGTTTCAGACTGTGTGGACGAAAAGAATTCGATTTCAGACCGCTTGGACAAAGGGAATCCGGTTTCAGACTGCATGGACTAAAGGAATCTGGTTTCAGAGTGTGTGGACGAGGAGAATCCGGTCTCAGGCCTTGTGGAACAAAGTAATCCGGTTTCAGACTGTGTGGACGAAAAGAATTCGATTTCAGACCGCTTGGACAAAGGGAATCCGGTTTCAGACTGCATGGACTAAAGGAATCCGGTTTAAGACTGTGTGGACCAATTAAAACCGTTTTTAGACCGTGTGGACCAAAAGAATCCGGTTTGAGACTACGTGGACTAAGGGAATTTGGTTTAAAACTGCGTGGATTAAGGGAATCCAATTTCAGACAGTGTGGACTAATTGAATCCGGTTGCAGACCTTGTGGACCAAATTAATCCGCTTTCAGACGGTGTGGATTAAGGAATTCAGTTTCAGAGAGTGTGGACGAGATGAATCCGGTTTGAGGCCTTGTGGAACAATTAAATCCGGTTTCAGAACGTGTGGACTAAAAGAATCCGGTTTCAGACAACGTGGACTAAGGGAACCTCGTTTCAGACCACGTGGACTAAGGGAATCCGGTTTAAGGCTGCATGGATTAAGGGAATCCGGTTTCAGACAGTGTGGACTAACTGAATCCTGCTTCAGACCTTGTGGATCAAAGTAATCTGGTTTCAGACAATGTGGACTAGGGAAACCAGTTTCAGAGTGTGTGGACGAGGTGAATCCGGTTTCAGGCCTTCTGAACCAATCAAAACCGGTTTCAGACCGTGTGGACTAAAAAAATCCGGTTTCAGACCACGTGGATTACAGGAATCCGGTTTCAGACTGCGTGGACTAAGGGAATCCGGTTTCAGACTGTGTGGACTAATTGAATCTGTTTCAGACCTTTTACACCGAGGTAATCCAGTTTCAAACCGCGTGGACTAAGGGAACCCCGTTTAAGATTGCGTGGATAAAGGGAATCCGTTTTCAGACAGTGTGGACTAATTGAGTCCAATTTCAGACCTTGTGGACTAAAGTAATCCGGTTTGAGACGGTGTGGACTAAGGGAATTCGATTTCAGACCGCTTGGACGAATGGAATCCGGTTTCAGACTGCGTGGACTAAAAAATGCGATTAATTTAAAAAACCACGACCTCAACCTGGGTTGAAACGATATATGATTTGGTAAATGATTATATAGATGACAATATGTGAACTCGATTGAAGAAACAAGGGTTGAAAGCTGATTAAGAACTAGTCATGTAAAATCATGACCGAAAACAGTAACTAAACTTGTCTTCAAAACGGTTATTTAAATGCCTTTTCATTATTAAACATGAGTTAGCCAAGCCTTCTCTTGTTTGACTTATATCAAGTTTTTAGATGAAGAATTTGTGCCAATTTTACTCGGGGGAGCTATCTGATAGCTAATTTCGTGCTGATTTTTGATACTTCATATTTGTTTTAGACTTGATCGATCAATGAATCGTTATGGTATTTTATATCTACGGCTCAGTGATGCATCATAAAATTGAGATGTCATTTTTCAGTCACGATTGATCAATGAATCATCAATGTAAATTACATCAATGTTTAATGAAGGGATCATGAATGAACATCGTTAAAGTGGCACTGCAACATGAATGTTTGATGGATGCCAAAAACTGAAAGATCTGTGATACATTCTGAATTATAATGCTATTTTAACCCAAGTAGGTTTTGTTCTACGATATCGCAACAAACAATAATGGTGAGTTAAGTGCTGTTAGTTCTATTTTCACGCAACATTATTTAGAAAAAAAACATTAGTTTACACGTAAAACACAATTTTGTGCAAATCCGAAAACCATTTTAAGTAAAAAATTGAAGATATGAACAAAAATCAGATCTCTTTAACCCCTCCCCTCTATTGCAAAAGTGGTATTCGTTACTAGATGCAAAACTTTCAAAGACTTGACCGTTGAATTACTCCATTATAGGGGTTGAAAATTTGTTATTGGGCTGAAATAGTTAAAAAGCACCATTGGGTTGATTGGAATTATGAAGGTCTGCTCCTAAAACTGCGACCCCGACACAAGATGCTCGTAACTAGGTGCCATAGGATTGATAGTTAAAGAGATCCTAAAAATCAGTGGCAAACAACTCCAAAACAATCAATCATTATTTCTACGTGCAAAAATACAATCTTAACATTAAGACGAACCGATTGCGTTCCCTGAAAGAGTCAAAATAATTAACATAAAGAAATCATTGCGTTAGATGAAGACATGAAGAGCAAATTGACAAAACCGAGAACGTCTCTGTACCTTGACCGAATAACCGCTCTCGTTTTCATTATTTTTAAAAACAGGTTGAACGCTCATCGTATGAACACAATTTGTTTTCGTTAAAAGGCGTTTCAACTTTCAAGCAGACAAAAATGCAGGAGAAGTGATGGCCATTTAATTATTTTGGTATATTTAATAAAATATGATGGCCAATTAATTAATTATGCTTTCAGAACTCAACCTTTTATGCCGTCTAAAGCAAAAAAAACTGCTTCACAAATTTTGCCAAATATAGCAAAATTATCTTTTGTGTTCTTAGTGGAATTCTTTCAACTGTTTACCAATGAGGCGTAGTCATTGACCAAAATTCCGTCCGGCGCGACCAAAAATGTTTTGACAAATTTCGAGCAACCCAGATAAGTTTCGACCGGCGCAGCTAATAACCTTTGTTTCGGCAAAATTGGAGCAACCCAAATGTGTCTCGATCAAACTCGGCCACGCAATATATGGACATTAGATGGGCATGCTAACAAGCAGTTCCCTTTCTAGAAACATACAACTTATATGCATATTTAATCCTAATTCAGGCATTGGCGCATTCATATGAAAAAAGATAATTGGTTCATATGTGTACATTGTGTAAAGGCAACAAAACTGCAGCTTGCAAAAAGGAAATCATCTGGGGGGTAGACTCTAATTAGGGAAAAAAGTGAGCCGACAGTTTTAATGAGCTGCAAAAGCTTTTGAGCGAATGTGATTGTAGATTTGGGGATCCCTCATGACAGAAGGACCAAATGGCAGAAAATTATATAAACCAAGTGGAAGCAGTAATAAAAAGTATCTTTAAAGGCATGAAAATTGGAGTAGTTAAGTAAAAGGCTTTTGACTGGAAAGTTGCATCTGCAATATAACCCCTATCGCGAGCGGTAATTTGCTGATAGGAAGTTTATCGGGATTCTTTAATCACAATTCGTGTTTGCTTCATTTTTATAGGGGTATAATCTTCACTAGGTACCAGTAGCGGATTTAGAACTTGCAACCCCCTCTTCCTCGGCCACCAAAAGATCCCACTTCGGGGTTATTTTACTGCATTCTTTTCTGCTTTACCAACCCTTAAATTTTCTGAAAGGCGAAGTTTTCTTTGGCGCCAATATAGATTAAATTTGCAGGAGAAAAACGGATTGCTGGGTACCATACAGGGCGGTAGTTAAAAAATCAGAGTACTTCTGCCATCTGATGCTTCTGTACCAAAAATAGACCCAATTGTGTTGATTTAATTGGTGTTGTAGCTAGTGTGATTGATGTTAAGTTATGTCATACTTGGCCGCTTCAAGTGCAGCTTCATTCGCCTCTGCGTCTGATTCATCTTCGTCTTCTGAAACAAGCAAGCAACCACACAAACACTCAGAGTGATGAAACCATGCTCAAGCGTTAATGGTCAGGGAATATGCAAATCGTGTCCAGCTAAAGAATCCCAGTAAAAAACTGGGACGAAAACGACTGTCCATTATGAAAATTGAAATCTCTTTAACTATTTCCTCCCTAGGATACCTCGTAATGAATTGCCACCCCTATAAATCAATAATTCAATATTTAAGTATTTTGCAAATTTTGCACCTAGTAACGAATTACCTAGTAATTTTGCACCTAGTAACCCCCCTCCTTTTGCAGATGAGGGAAATAGTTAAAGAGATCGGAAAACTGTAATGCGACACATGTTTTGCCACAAAAGCCACTTTGAAAAATTAGAGGAAAACCACAACTCGCTAAGTTTGAAATTTAGTCCAAAACAAGGGCACGGACAAGTAGCAACAGTTTACTTCGTAGCTCCGCTGAGCGCGGGTGGTATAATTTGCCAGATTTAGTGCTGATGCTAAGTTAGATTCTGATTAAAAAGATTTTTTTTGTCTATTATTGCCAGTTGTTTAATGTTGAGATGCCATTTTCCAACGAAAGTAGTAAAAATTACGTTGAAAAATAAAGAATATCACTGGATTAGGCAGATGCGGATGTTTTGAAGCAAAGCTTTTCGCTGAAATGAACGTTTGCCAAAGTCGATACCCCATTTGTGGTGATTTTCCGACACAAATTTACATGAGTTACGATGATACTATAATGATACACGCCAAGTCATACGCCACTGGCATGCATAAATATCAACTCTACGCAAACACAAACATAGGTAGCTTCAATTCATGACCAAAACGTAACCTTATCTTCTCCTCCAATTCTTTAGCTTTTAACTGCGCTTCCATTTCTTCATCTTCTTTTTTAGAATTTGCGTCTGGTTCTTCCATAGGGGAAGTACCATGCTCAACCCCTTTGTTGTGGGGAGAATTCAATAGACTGTAGTCGGTTTTTGCTGATTCTGCTCGGATCGACTCTACGTTGAGAGAGGTTGAGCTGGACACTGCCGAAGAAGCAGCAGTTTCGCCTTATTTTTAAAAATTGCTAGCTGTGGGTACGGTACTAATTCAATAAAAATTAATCCTTGTTTTGAATTATAATCATAATAAATTGTTTCCAAACGATATCTAGTTACAAAGTTATTTATAAAAAAATTTTAAATACAAATTAGAATCATTTGGGAGAACACCATTAAGCCAACACGGCCCGTTTTCAGTTGTCTCATTAAGCAGAGAACAAAAAAGTAGTTAATTTCTTTGATCCAATGCAATGGACCTTCTACCGGTAAACATTTATCAAACGTAAAACCTCTTTATTCGCACCTTTAAACCATTCTCTATAGAAAAAAAAATAATTTTATTTTTTTTTTGTTTTCTCGGGTAGTCTTTTCTACCCATAACGTAGAAACCAACAGAAACAAGTTCTACTTATTGATCAATCAAATGTCTCAAAGCATGCTCAGTAAAACCGTATTTCCTAGAATGTAATTATCCAAAAATTTATGATTAAAACTGTTTAATTGAAACCGAGAAACCCCATTCAAGAAAATGACCCAGCCGGGAAAAAATTTATTACAAAGTTAAACATTTTTCTAATTTTAAGTGTAATTGACCCTCTGTTGAGTTTAGTTCTATTTATAGCTAATTTTTGATTTGTTTTTTTTTCTGTGAAAATATCGCGTTTAATTCTTGTTCAGCAATGGAATATCTCAAGGTATCAACTTGGCACTCTTTTCGAATAATTTTCCCGGTTAATTTCAGAACTTCGTACGCAAATTCTCTCTTTATAGACTATTCGATAGCCCAGGAGGACCAAAAGACGGTAAAGACACATTTTTATACACTGGAATAACGATTCCGAAATTCTGAAAGTGTGTAATATTTTCTGGGATTCAGGACTTCGTCAAAAAAAGGTCGTTATAGAAAACTTCCAGTTAAATAGTTGAAAGTTATTGTTAAAAGATTGCTCACCACTTTCTCCGATGGGATCTCGACTCATGATGAAGATTTCTGGACAATAAGCCTGAAAAAGTCTCATTGCTAAATACTCTGTCAATTCTTCATTCAACCAACGGAAATTCGTTGTCAAAATAAGAGTACTTACAAAAGGCGGAAGGAAGTTTTTGACCTTGAGCTGTTTCTCCTGCATGTGTTTGACCTGAGTCATGGCTCTGCCCACACTCTTCAGGAAGATGAACTTCTTAGGGAGGGTGCCACCCTGTTTCCCAATCTGGTCTATTATGACGTCACGCAGCTCCACCAGCGGAGTCTCTGGGTACACTCTGAGAACAACATTTTCAAAAGATTAACACAATAGCTTGTTTAGCGCCCTAGTCTTCGGCGGTGCAGGACGCAACAAAACTTTTTGTAAATTTATCTCAAACTTCTGCGAAAAACTGGTGAAAGCATAGGAATAGTAGGGAGGTTGAATCACTATGGTTATAGCTCACTATCTAATACAAGATGTACAAATTGCAAATCTCGAACATAGAAAACAAGTGCCAACTCGCAAGCTTAATAAAATTTTTTAGAAGCATATTTAATTCAGCTGTAATTTAGGGCTGAAGAAGCCTGCTTGCTTGTAACGACAACAAGGACCCCTATTGAGGGTATGCTATACTGTTTATGTTCGATTGCACCCACCTGATGAATCCGGCGGATATGGTATAGTTCATGACAGTGTTGTAGGCACAGTTGTACTGCTCATTCCAGTACTGAGCAGGCACCATGTAGATGTGCAGATCGGTCATCTGAACAGACAGGACAACATTTGGTCGACAGAAAGAAGTTCGAAATAACTAAAGTTATCGGAAAATTATCAAAAATATCAAATTGTACAGATATGCATAATCAGATAGCTAGGAATAAGTTTTCTTAGTTCGTAATGTATCAATGGTACATAAATTAAGATAACTGATAGACCTTCTCCCCTTCGTACCGAATCACAAACCCCCGCAAAAACATGAAAAACGCCGTCGTTTTCATCCAAAACATGTTACCTCTGGGCCACTAAATGTCATTTCTCTCGAAAACTTTATTTGTGCTTGCTGTGTCAGAAAAGTTGCCTTTCGACCATTCGTGGTCTTGATACTTGTGGTATTATCATTTGCATACTTCATTGTTTGTGTATGTCTAGGCATATTATTTGAAGCTCCAAATTGGGCATATTGAGGTACCGGAGGAGGATATTTTGGAGGAATGATTCGATCTTTCCTTTCAGATTGTTCAATAATCGCAGCGTATTTTTGACTATTTTGGTTCAAAACTCGCTTGCTTTCTTCTTCATAGTATCTGGCAGCTTCTTGTCCGGTCATTTGATCAGGGTCTTCATATTGAGGGTGAAAAGTTCCACTTTGATCAGGATCATCGTGCGCAAAATTTTGGAAATTTGAAGTTTGTGAAAAATGCCCATTTGTCGTTTGAAAATTTGATTGATCTGTTTTTCTTGGTGAGTGCTCTTCGGGAATTGTCGGATGAGTTCGAGTATATTGACTGTAATTTATACCATTTGGTCGTTGGAAGCTTTGGTTGCTCCTAGGAGCTACTTGCCGATGTTGGTGGACCTGGTTAGAGTCTTGCCATGATGATGAAGCGATTGGTCTTAAAGGTCTTGGAGGGTTCATTTGCGTTTGGGGATGATTGCTCGTTGCTCTTACAAGATAATTTGATGCATGAACATTGCGGTGACTTCCACAGCTGGGATCTCTCGGAATCATGTTAAGACTATTGGCACCACTAGGCACAAAATTGGTTCCCTGGTACATATATGGTTGTTGGTTTGGGTTATTTGCCACAATCTGAGGTCTTTGGGCAGCGTTATTATAAGTTGGTCCTTGAACTGAATTTTGTGACTGAGGTTGTGAGAACCTATTTTGACCTGCGTTTGCGTTTTGGTTTCCAAAATTTTCAAGCGGTTGTCGATAATGACCATTGTTTGTTTGTTTTTGTGCAGGTATCCCAGTATTTGGATGCGAGTTCATTCCGCTGTAGTTTGGATAAGCAGGGTGATAATGGCGATGTTGATTTTTTGGTTGTGATTGGTTATTTAGTTGTCGGTTTAAATAACCGTTTATATTTTCAATCGGTGGCGCTGGTTGGTTATAGACAGACTTGTTTGAGGCTTGCTGGTTGGGGTAAAACTGCGACCTCTCTTCTGGTGGTTTGTACTTCAAGTCATCGTAAGAGAATGAGGTTTTCGAACTTGGTAATTGAGAATCCATTTGGCGAAAATTTAAATTTTACTAACTATTTCAAAACATGATTAAATACAGTTCAAAGATAGACGCTCAAAGTAATTTGGTGTATTTGTGGAAAATTATTTCCTCGATCACCACTGGAAAATCATAAAAGCAACCGTGTTAGTTTCAATAGCAGTGGAAAAACACATAGCAATCTCAAAACGTGAAGTATTATGTTTTTTAAAATACAGAAAAAAGAAACGGAATTTATTTTGCTCTGCGTATTTTGGTGTGCATTTGTTTTTTTTTTCAACCGGAATGAAAGCTGGATTAAAGTTTTAAATGATCGTTAGGTAATTTTTAAATTAAGAAGATACTCTATTAGAACGTATAAAAACATCTGCTGGTATTTTGTTCATGTCGGATATTTTCAAACTGCGTTTTTTGAACACTTCAGCTAAAAATACCAAAATGGTACAAAAAAAGATGGAAGTTTGTGAATAATCCTTTTATGAATGCATATAAGCATTTTAATCAATTATTTATAAAAAAAAATTGAGCAGAATATAAAAGTAAGAGTTTATATAGTGCCTAGCAGAACATCAACTATATTTCATGATTTGAACTTTTTTATATTCGTCTCGAAGGTGGTTGATTTTGAAGAAAAACACTCGAAAACACAATTACCGGTGTGAAAGAGGTATTGGAAAACGACATTCATCAAACGGTTACTGAGCTGATAACACTTGGGTGTTTGGGTATAAGACAAATTATCCGAAAAAAATGCTGTCAAAACTTTTGAGCTATAAAAAGTCCTCCCGTTTTTCGCACCCACCTGAAAGAGCACAAATGCAATAAGAAAAAATTTGGGCCCATCAAATGACGCATTCAAAGCAAATTAACAGATTTTTTCCAACAATACAGATTTTTTCCAACAATCAGCGAAAAAATAAAAATAATAAAACTTGTTTTGAAAGCTACAAAAATTCGGACGAAACGACCATTTAAAAGCTCAAAAATTCGTTTCCAGACATTCCATCAGAACAGACATGCCAACTAATTCAACTGATTTTGTTAAACTAGTTGATAGCCCGAAAAAAAACAAGTCTGTATTCCGATTTGATAACGCTTACTAATCGCGGGAGTAATGAAAACGAGAAGTGGTAGTATGACTGATAAGACTACACCTGTTCTGACGTAGGTCGTTCCTCTTCGGGGTAAGGATGGGGAAATGGGACTGGGGGAGGGGACGCTCGTGGTCGGGGGGACAATCTGCCCCCTCTTGTCTTGCCAGGTCTGCTCGTCGGATCCATCTCACAAAAATGTACCCAAGTTTGTCGTTTTTAAAATAAAGAAGAGTTTGTGATGGTTTTCTTTGCAAAGAAGACTTTTTGAGTCTGGCTAACTACTTGGTAAAATTGAAAGTCGTTTCTCTGCAGAAAACGAGAGCGTATATAACCATTACTTCAAACAGTGGCCGGTACATGCACACCACGTTAGTTAACAGCAGTGTACAATTTCAATGTGATCAATTTTTAGTCTTATGCCAAAATGTACCAAAATCAGTCTTGATGAAGCTTTAGAGAGCAATGATCTAAGTGATCTTAAAGAGAAGGGAAAAGGCGTAATTTTTAGTGGACGATTTCTAAGATTTTCTTGACTTACTTTCAGCCTTGAGTCTCAGCCCTCGATCAATGATACCCACCTAAAATCTAAATTACGCTTCAGAGATGCACCAAAGTCTATAAAAAAATTTTAGATTGTCAAAAACGAAAATAACTGCAAATTAAAACAAAACTGCTCGTATCAGGGCAAAGCCCTGAATGTTCCGACTGCCTTTTAAGGTTTTATGGAGCAGTAATAACATGAAAAAATTAAATGTAATAAAATAAAATGAATTTTTTTTTTAATTTGAATATTTTTATGAAAATCATCCCCCCACAAGCCATATAATACAAAAAGATAGATTTAGCTCCTTGTAACAAATTAATTATGGCAAATAAGCTTCTTTCAACCAATTTGGAACAATTTTAAGACGGATTAACTCTCCGCTTACGCGTTAATAGCGCGACATATATCGCGCGTTAATTGTCTCAAATTGGCCAAAATGGCAATCTTTATACCCCCACAACTTTACGAAAAAAAATCACAGGTGAAATATCTTTTTAAAATTGAGCTTAGGACAACAATACCTTCTGAATGATTTAACAAATTCCGTCAAAAATGGCTAGTTAAAAAATCGAAATTTACCTGAAGAAAAAAAACCCACCCGAGCACAAATATTCCGTTACTTTCGTATCGAAAGTCGGAATAAAAAATACGTTTCATCATTACAAACCATTACGAAAAGCTCATAAGCGATTTCAGGCATCTCAATTTCACAACGAAAGTCAATTTCCTAGATTTTGATGTCTAAAGTAAGAACGGAAAAATCCAGTTAAACCAAAAGTCCAAACTGGAAAAAAGCCTTGCTTTTGAACATAAAGAGGAGATGTATTTGACAACAGTCAATTATTAATTTAAAACATAGTCAACAACAAATTGGAACAAGACTGCTCGTATCAGGGCGAAGCCCTGAATGTTCCGAATACCTTTTAATGTCTGTGTAGCAGTAATAACATGGAAAATTTAAATGTAATAAGTAAAATTAAAACTTTTTTCTAAAAAGTTTGAGGTTTTTTGTAAAAACATCCCCCCACACGCCAAGTACAAAGTGATAAATTTTGCTCCTATTAACAAATCTAATGTAATCTTCCTTGAAAAAATTTGGATTGATTTCTAAGACGGATTGAATCTCGCTTACGCGTTAATAGCTCGAAATATATCGCGCGTTAATTGTTCCAAATTGGCCAAAATGGCCAAACTGCCAGTCTTTAATTCCTCATAAATTTACAAAAAATGATCACAGGCAAAATATCTTTTCAATTTTAAGCTCAGGACAACAAAACCTTCTGAATGATATTAAAAAAATTCCGTCAAAAATGGCTAGTTAAAAAGTCGAAATTTGTCTGAAGAAAAATCCACCCGAGCACAAATATTCCGTTACTTTCGTATCGAAAGTCGAAACAAAAACAGTCAAACAGAAAGTCAAAACATAGTCAACAAACAAAGACGAATACAGAGCCAACATAGACGAACCAAGGGTCAAAATACAGTGGATCTCGATGTAAAAACAAAAAAGAATTAGAAATAACTATAATACAACAATGTGATTCAGCAGTTCAAAAAGGAATAGAAAATAAGAAAAACAAAAGTTTTTCAAATTTTGCAAATAGTTTTTTTTATTCTTTTAAAACTCTAAGCCCAAGAGGCGCTAAAAAGAACTCAAAAACTAACTTTACTGCAGCAAAATATATTTCGCGGATTAAATAATGGCTTGGCGCCTTTCTATAAGCCTACTCATTTGCTTTATTGCTTGAAATTAGACAGAAAAAAATTTCAATCTGCTTTTTCTTCAGACCGAAAAAAATTGTGAACGTTTCATTTTTGGTTCAAATCATGATTGAACGTACCTTTATTATTATATGTCGACCCACTGCGATAGTTAGTTGCGGTGAAATTAAAATAAAATAAATATACAAACAATTGGAAAAAACCGGAATTGAACGTTTCTCTCCACTTTCAGTAGTCGGATTCGGAGCAACAAAGGAGAACAAAAAATTGAAACGTAATCAAATAAAAAAACGTAATCAGCATAGTGTATGGAAGGTTTATATATGCTTTGTTCTAAATATGATAAAATAAAATTATTGGCAGATGAATATGAACCCAATTACCAGTGCAGGCGCAAGCAAAGAAAACAAGGATAGCGGGTTACTGTGCAAGTAGCACAGAATGATCCGAATATAGTCTTTTAAAAAAATTTACGAAAAAAGTTTTGTTTTCAATTTATTATAGGATATGAAGTATAATTATATTTTGGGCATATTGGCAGTCATAGTAATGTAAGCTAATTGGACAAAAAACTTTTGAAAAAAATTGACTAGAAAAACGAAAAAAAAATAAATTAAAAAAGTTCAATTTTTTTTTCATTTCCTTTGCTGAATGAAGTTTTTAGTTTCAAAAATGGCGCTAAAAATCCAAAAGATTTTTTTCACAAGTCTAAGTATAAGTTTTCAGGGCTTAAATTAAACATAAGCTGTTGTATGCCTGCTAGCTCGCTCTTTTCCCTCGAATGTCAAATAAAAACTTTTAATCAAAATTTTAATCCAGTTTTTTCTCGTTACTGAGAAAACTGTTCAAATATTTTTAAACGTCGCTCGAGTCATGACTGAAATTATTTTTTTTCATTGGATACTCTCAACCCATTCTGATGATTGTTTCCAGGTACTGGTCACCTTCGAACCTAGGTCTTTTGCTTTGCCGTTTCAGGCGTATTTGTTGTCTCCATACTAAGTATGCTGGAGACGCTTCGATTTTTGAATTCATTATGAACCAAGAAACCAGGTGATTCAAACGATTCTGTTAAGCAAATTGTTAACCCAAAAAAAGTCCATGTTCGGACTTGACAATGCTTGCTAATCGCAAACGTAATACTTTCAATTAAATTGAACCAAAACAGTGCATCGAGGCTATCTTGGTTAACGCAGTGAAATTTGCAAAACGTTTTTCAATTCATCAACCATTAAAAACATTTTTTTCTGACCCTTAAAAAATATCTTCTATAACAAATCAAAATATCTGAAATTTCTAATTATTTTCAATAATGGGGCAGAAATATTAACTTTACGTCAAAGCAAAATTAATTGTACCAAATAACGTAATCGTAAACTTGTCGAAAAATCACTGTAGATACCTCAGTGAAGTTGAAACATTTGGTTTCAATTCATTCATTCATCGCTCAATCTCCTCTGAATAATTTAAGCTAAGTTTTTTATTGTAGATTATCTCGACACTACAACCATTTTTGCATGACTTTCACTGCAGATTCTGAAAAAAATTCAAAATATTTTTGTAGTAGAATTTTGCAATGCCCGAATTTGTTTTTCTGCTAATTTAGTGTTTAAAGAGCAATTAGCTCGACGTAAAAATTAAACAGTTTCCACAGTTTTCACAGTTTCAAAAATGTTACGACACAATTTATTTTTCATATTGACAAAAAACTTAACATTTGTCACCGAACTTGTCAAAAATTCATAAGAAAAATCGAATTTCAATTCAGCATAGTGTATGGAAGATTTATATATGCTTTGTACTAAATATGATAAAAAAAATTATTGGCAAATGAATATGAAAAAAATTGACTAGAAAAACGAAAAAAAAATAAATTAAAAAAGTTCAATTTTTTTTTCATTTCCTTT